CTTTCTTTCTTTCTTTCTTTCTTTCTTTCTTTCTTTCTTTCTTTCTTCTAAAAAGTAACCAGTGCATAGCATAAGACCTGATATATAATAACCAATTAATAGATGTTTGTTGATTGACTTAACAATCCTATTTTCAAGTAACAAAATTCAAGTCGAGTGGTGATATGACCCAATTGATATCCCATAGCCATATGATGACAAAGCCAGGAACTAGAATCAATATTTCCTGTTTCTTTGTTGTATATTTTCCCCCCACAACAATAAAAATGCACCAAATTATAAGACATCACAACAGAATTCTCAAAATTATTCTGAGATAATATCTATTTGGATAATCTGTACATGCAAATTGCTAACATTTAAAGGATAGGAAATGTGTGGTATACTTGAAATTGCCAAGCACTAGATCTGGGTGTGAATCCTACCTTGGTTAATCATTGTCTGTGTGATCTTGGGCAAATCACACTCTCTTCATTTATAAAATGTGGAGATTAGAAATCAGTGATGAAGTTGTTTGGCTTCATTGTCGTAAATACTCCAGAGTGCTAGAAACCAGATTAAACTATAATTGAGTAATGTTTAATAAAATAAACAAAAATACAACAGAACATAGATAATGTTAATGTGTGGTTTTCCATGTTAATATGCAGAGCAGGGATCCCTATGGGCAATTTTGTAGCCCTATTTCTATTTGAATTTGATACTACTGGACTAGATAACTTATAAATTCTGTTCCAGCTCCCAATTCTAACATGACTGATAAAAATCCACTAAACACTAAAGTGATATTGATCATCCCTTAATCTCCAAATCAGGCTGGGGTAGATTGCCCCTATACGATCAGATCCTTGGATCTTCAGTCAGAAGACAGAGCAGTGTCTTGTGTGCCTGCCTCTGCATCACAAGTACTAGTAGAAGCAGTACGGGGGGAAGAGATCCGGTCGGGCAGAGAATGAGAAGACCTGGGATGAAGCACAGTTTCCAAGGCTTACAATGTTTATGACCCTGGACAAGTCACATTGACTCACTCAAATTCAGTTTTGGCTTCTTTAAAATGGAGATAATTATATTCTTAGTACCTATATATGGCAGAGTTATTGTGAAATAAATATTTTGACAGTTTTAGAATGCTATAGACATGCAGATCATATTTGTATTACAATGCAAACATGAAGAAATGCCAACTAATAGAATTATTTGGTTGCCAGAAGCCAGCTTTCTTTAAGAGTCTACCATGTTGATATAACAGTTGGAACAACTACTGCTATTTATAGAGCATTTTAAAGATGCCGATACATTTTCAATGTGGTTGCCAGAGGAGCTAGTGACCACGGTTTTGCCCTCTTCAGTTTTAAGGAATCAGTACCGGCAAATGCTCATTGTCACCAGCACAGTGCCAGGCACATACTAAATACTCAATAAAAGTTTGTTGACTCATTGCTATGTGTTGTTTTCCCACATTAGAATGTAAGTTCTTCAAGAATAGAGATTGTTTTTTTCCTTGAGTTTATATTGCTAGAGCTAACATTGGTCCTTTGCTTTAAGTTGTTGGTAATAAACATTTAACAAATTGTTGACTTGTGCTCTTTTCCACAGCACACACACACAAAAATGGGAATAACACAAAGAAAATTAGCATGACCCCTGCTCAAGAATGACATGCAAATTTGTTAAATGTTCCATATTTAATAGCAACAACAACAATCTTCCAGATCCTGGGATTTTTAAATAGGACTTAGAAGAAACTCAGGGAGATCTAGTTAAAACGGTACCTGAAATGAATCCTATGGACATTGAAATTTTTAAGTGATAAATGCATTTACTTCTTTAACAGTTAAAAAACACAAGAGCAGCTCATTATCTATCAAAGCCATTACAGTGATGGACAGCTCTCACTGCAAAGAAGTAGTTTCTTCCTCACATCCTGGTACTATAGAAAGAAACCTAGATGTGGAGTAAGGAGAGATGTGGTGATGATTATGAATATGTTTTGCATGACTACACATGTATAACCTATATTGAATTGTTTGTCTTCTCAATGAGGGGGGTGGGGAGGGATGAAGGGAGGGAATTTGGAGCTCAAAGTTTTAAAAACGAATTTTAAAATTATTTTTACATGTAACTGGGGAAAAATAAAATACTAAATAAAAACTTGAAATAGGAGAGATGTGAGTTAATGGTCTCCTGTCACTTGCTAGTTAACACTTAACAAGAGATGGAAGTGAGTCAGAGCCTTTCTGAATCTCACCTCAGTTGCCTCCCCTCTATGTGGGATAGCTATCTCATGGGGTTCTTTGATGATTCAGTGCAATGTATTAAATGCCTTATACAACTTTAAGTAAAACATAAATGTTGACTTATATTTAGCCTAAATTTGCCTAACTGGAACTTTCCCCCCCTTTTCCATATGATAGCCCTTTAAATCCACTGGCCAATGTCGCCTTTCTCCCGATCCTTCTACCGTCTAGGTGAATCATCCCAGTTCTCACAGTGGCCCCTCAGCTGGTGTTGGTTCAAGGGTCCTGCCCCAACATCCTGGTTGTCCCTTCTTGATATTCTCTAACTTACCGATACTGAATTTCAAATGGAGCCCCCAGAACTGGACATGATTCTTAATCAGGGCAGAGTACAGTAGAATTGCCATGTTCTTGGTGGTGGGCACTATATATCTTTGAGTACAGTCCATGTTTGCATCAGCTTTCTTGGCTAGCATGTATTTCTTAGTTGCTTTCTCATAGCTTGCAGTCCTTTGAGGACCTCAGAGATTTTATTTAAACAAGCTTACCTGTCCTGTACCTACAAAAGTGATTGTTCAGAGGAATCATTTCATAGTGCTGGCCTCTGAGTTCCCTTCCATCTCTAGCATTACACTCATACAATGCTTTCTTTTGCAACTAAGGTGTCCAAAAAAACCCAAAAACTTGGACCCAGGTCTCTAGACTCCAAGATGATCCTCTTTCTCTACTAAGGCAGCCTTCATTCAAGATTAGACTTTGGTCCCTGGGAAATCATATCACATTTACTGTCTGCCATTCTCCAATTCAATTCAATACAATCCTATCCAATCTAATCAAATATGTATTTAACAAGCACCAACAAATAAATGAATTGATTTATACCTATATTCATAAGTATCCATCTATACCTGACAGATACGTACATATGTATACATAAAAATACACACATATATCTTTATACACCTTCTATATATGCATGTGTGTACATATATACGTGTAATGCATATGTGTATTTATTTCTGTTCCGTCATTTTCACTTGTGTTCAACTCTTCATGAACCCTTTTGAGATTTTCTTGGCAAAGATACTAGAATGGTTTGCTATTTCCTTCTCTAACTCACTTTTGTCAGTGAAGAAACTGAGATAAACAGAGTTAAATGATTAAGCCAGGGACACACAGCTAGTAAATGTCTGAGGCCAAATTTGAACTCAGGTCTTCCTGACTCCAAGCTCCATGCTCTATCCACTCTGCCACCTAGCTAACTGTGTATATGTGTATGTGTGCATATGCCTATACCCGCTTCATCAACTCACTATCTCACTCTCCACGTTGTCTTTTCCAAACCCTTTCATCTATCCTCCAACCTCTCCTGGCTGCCCCTGCTCCCACCCTTTCATCTAAGAACATTGCCTCATTTTTTTAAAGAAAAAATTGAGTCCATTTGCTATGAATTCCCTCTTTTCCCCTCTCTCTCATCTTCTATCATTCAGATGCCGTCTGCCACTATCTCCTCCTTCATGCCTCCTTAGTAAAGCATTCTATTTGCTGAAGTGATCCCATTCCACTCATTCTATCCAGTCTTCTCCAACAATTGCCCTCTCTGTCATTCCTACAGTATCACTTACTTTCAGTCTCTCCATCTGCTCATTCCCGACTGCCTACAAACATACCTGTATCTCTCTCCTCCTGAGAAAAAAAATCCTTACTCGCTCCTTCCATTCACACTAACTATAGTTGGTGACTTCCTTTTTCCTTTGTAGCTAATGTCCTCAAAAAGGTCATTTACAATTTGTGCATCAAATTCCTCTCGTCGCCCTCTCTTCTTAACCTCTTACAATTTGGCTTCCAATCTCACCATTCCACCAAAACTACTCTCTGCAAAGTTACCAATGATTTCTTAGTTGTAAATCCAATGCTTTTTTCTCAGTGTCTTTCTTCTTGATCTCTCAGAAGCCTTTGACACTCTTGATCACTCTTTCCTTCTGGATACTCTTTCCTCTCTAGGTTTTCAGGACACTACTATCTCTCGGCTCTCTATGATTATATACCTAATTATAATATAGGTATATACGAATACAAACATATGCCAATTAATCAACATTTCTTAAGTGCCTACTATGTTCCAGGTACTATGCTAAGCACTGGGAATACAAAAAAGGCAATATATATGTATATGTGTGTGTGTTTGTGTGTCTATATGTATATTTGTGTATGTATATATGTGTATATGTTATATATGTGTATATATGTTATATGTGTGTATATATACACATAAATATATACAAAGAAGCTACATACAGGATGAATGGGAAATAATTAATAGAGGGAAGATATTGAAATTAAGAGAGGTCAGGGAAAAGATAGGATTTTAGGTAGAACTTAAAGAAAATAAGGAAAGCCAGTAGTTGGGGTTCAGGAGGGAAAGCATTCTAGATGGAGCCTCATCCAGATCATAATCTCTAACCATAGATGTCCCTCAGCAGCTCTATCCTGAGTCTTCTCTCCTCCCTCTACACTACTTCACTTGGTGACTTCATCAGCTCTCATGGATTTAATTACCATCTCTATGCTGATGATTCTCAAGTCTACGTCTTCTGCCCCAGTCTCTCTGCTGACCTCCGATCTCACATCTCCAACTGTCTTTCAGGTATCCAAAATAGAAGATCCAGCAGACATCTTAAACTTTGCAAGTCAAAACACAACTCATTTTCTTTTCCCCTAAATCTTGCCACCCTCATATTCCCTATTACTGTCAAGGCTACCCCTATCCTCCTGGGCCCCTGGGCTCTCAGCCTGGGAGTCGTCCAGGACTCATCTTATACCTTCTATGTCCAAGCTGTTGTCAAGGCATTTCAATTTCACCTTTACACCACTTCTTGAGTATTTCTCCCTCTCTTCTCTGCCACACATACCCCTTTGGTTCAAGCCCTCATCACCTCATGCTTAGACTATTACAATAGCCTGATGGTGGGTCTTCCTACCTCAGGTCTCCCCACCTCCAATCCATGCTCCAATCAGCCACTAAAGTGATTTTCCTAAAGCGCAGTTATGAACATGTCACTCTCTCCCCCCAACTCAATTAACTCCAGTGGCTCTCTATCTCCTCCAGGATCAAATTCTACATGTTCTTCTTGGCATTCAAAGTCCTTCATAAACTAGTCTTCTCTTAACTTTCCAGTGTTCTTGTACCTTACTCTCTGCCACATACCCTTACATCTAGGGAAAGTGGCCTCTTGACTGTTCCACAAATAATACACTCCATCTCTTATCTCTGGCATTCTCTATGGCTTATCCCTCATATCTGAAATGCTTTCCCTCCTGCACCCCAACTACTGGCTTTCCTTATTTTCTTTAAGTTCTAACTAAAATCCTGTCTTCCCCCCTACCTCTCTTAATTTTAATATCTTCCCTCTATTAATTATTTCCTATTCATCCTGCATGTAGCTTCTTTGGATATATTTGTGTGTATATGTATATACACATATATAACATATATACATACATATATACACATATATATAAACATAGACATACAAACACACACATATACATATATATATTGCCTCTTTTTGTATTCCCAGTGCTTAGCATAGTACCTGGAACATAGTAGGTGCTTAATAAATGTCTATTAATTGGCATATGTTTGTATTTATATATACCTATATTATAATTATGTATATAATCATAGGCATATAATTTTTTGAGGGAGAACACTGGCAACTATGAGGGGCAGGGAAGTTTTCATAGGCAAGTAATATTAATCAATCAATCAAATAATTAAGAAATATTTATCTATTTTTGGCTAGGCAATGGGGTTAAGTGACTCACACAGCTAGTGTTATATGTCTGAGCCCAGATTTGAACTCAGGTCCTCCTGAATCCAGGGCCGCTGCTCTATCCACTGCGCCACCGAGCTGCCCCAGAAGTATTTATTAAGCACCTAGTATATACCAGGTACTGTGTTAGGAACCCAGAATACAAAGACAAAAAATTTTTCTACTGAGCCATATGAAAACAAAAGCCTTTGAGGGGAATAAGACCATTCCTAGGCCTAACCAAATGTTCTGTCTTCTGAATTACCTTCTTTAGAGTTGCTGTTTGAAAGGGCAGATGAATGTGTTGCTCTCTCCCTATAAGAACTCTATTCAATAATGCCATAAATGTTTCTTAAGGGCCTATTATGTCCATGGTCTGGGAACAATAATAGCTAGCCTTGCTATAGAGGTTCAATGTTTTCAAAGGACTCTATGTAAATTTTCTCATTTTAATTCAATTCAAGTCAATAAACATTTATAAAGTGCCTACAATGTTCCAGGCACTGAGCTAAGAGCTGGGGATACAAAAAGAGACAAAAAGATAGTCTTTGCCTTCATGGAGCTTACAATCTAATGGGGGAGACAAAATGTAAATAAATATCTAGGAAGCTATTTACCTGTGAACTAATCAACAGGA